AAAAAAAAAAAAAAAAAAAAAAATCTGTTCTTCCCACTTCAAGATAATTGTAATTTAGTTCATTAACTTTTCAAATCATATTTGCTGCGTAGAGGAAGTTATAAATTGAAAGGAAAAACTTTAGGAATCTGTAATTAAGTTATATGATAACATCTCCATCTTTGGACCACTCTCTTTATTCTTCCTTTTTTTTTTCCACAAAAGTTCAGCTGTTTTTTGCAGCTTGAGCCATGATTCACTTCTTTTTCCTCTCTTCAAACTTAATCCTGAAGAAAATTTATTGTTCTTTTCGAGACTATTCCCCCGAAACCATTTTAAATTGTTTTTTAGGTGCTAGTATTGCCTAATTATCGTCATGCCTAAATTCCTAATATTGCCTATGGATATATATGAGTTACAGAGAGCAAATTCGTGCTGAAAGCTCAAACACAAATGTTCAAACTTTTGGAGTGCATTGCTAGGACAGTACAAACACAACTGGCAAACTGAAAAGGATACACAATACAAGTAGTAACATAATTCGCTTCACATGACAGTACATTAATACATTACTTCTTTGGAACTCCTAGACGAAACCATGAAAAGATAGAAGGCAGCAACAATTTGAAGAGGGAGATTATATTTAAGGGGCTTCCACCAGAGGTACTGCTGCTCCCTGTTGTCTTCGAGCCTGCTCAATTCATCAATAAATAAGATGTCATAAATAGACAATCATACATAATTAGTACTAGGATCTCATAAATATACAATCAAATAATTGTAGATGCTTAATAGTTGTAATTCGTGGATTATAATTAATCTTTGTTATTTTTCCTTTCTTCTATTTACTGTTTGCTTCCTAATAATTTTAGTACTTTAATTTAAAACAAATATCATCACCTATCATATATTTTCTCTTGATTAGGACATGAACTATGCTAAAAGGTTGACATACTCTGGTGAAATTACACTCGCAATCTATATATAGTTGTAAATTGCTTCAACTTTGTAGAATTAGGTAAAAGAATTGGTCTCAATACTCTGGTGCGTGCAATGTTCATGACTTGATTAATTACCTGAAAACGATGAACCAGTTTAAGAATCCGCTGTCCCGTCGTCGGAAGTACTGAACCCTCTGGCGAACCCACTGGAGAACCCATTGGCACTGGAGACATTGCCGGTCCATTACCAGCTGTATCAAATATTATTAGCAGAGAAATTATGCATCAATACCGAATTAGGGAAAACATTGAATAAATGTAAACTATATTCTATAAACACTTGTAGTACAAGTGCAATATGCATACCGACTTATAATTTCGATAGTGCATGTCTCAAAATCACGTTAATTTACTCCCTTCATTTCATTTATATTCCGCCAGTGTTGATTGAGCATAAAGTTTAAGAAAGAAAGACTTTTGACTCGTATCAAAAGTATCCTTAAAACTCGTGGTCTCATAAATGCCACGACATTTCTATGTCTATATAGGAGCTAGCATGTCATTAAGGGTATAATGAGAAGTTAAAAGTTTCCAAATATAAAAATGTGTCATTCTTTTTTTTTGGTATACACTAAAACAGAAAGATCAGAGTGAACTGATAATACATATTTCGTAAATCACTTACCATAACATCTACTAACAGGAGGAGTTTGCAGGTTGCATGCACCAGGCAGTGCAAGTGCAAGAGTTTGATTAATTTGGACGCCCAACGACGAACCACCTCCATTAGCAATGGTGCAAAGGCACCTGGGCTGCGACTGCAGCACACCAGACAGGGCGGAGCAGCAAGAGCTCGACGGTGTTTTTGAACTTCCAGTCACATAGCTAAGGCATGAATACATGCTAAAGAAGGCGTTCATGCAGTTGGATTGAGCCATTGCCCCTGTCGAAATCATGCTCACTATTGCAACTAAAGCCATGCAAATTTGAATCCCTCTCGATGCCATCTTTTGGTCTTGTGACAGATATGTTTATAATTAATTTCGCTCACAACAACTAGCTAGGGGAAAACAAAGAAAAATTAGAGCAGTTACTTTGCTTCTTAATTAATTTGGTGGAGTGGGGGGCTGGAGATTTATACATTTTGCTAGGGGGTGATTATTTGTTTTCTGGGTAGAGAAGGAAATATATTGGTTAACTAATAAAGATGTATGAGCTAAGATTTCCAATAACGTGTCACTAATCCGTATAGCATATGCATTGGCTGATGACCTAACTCCTAAGTAATAGAGTAGATAACTTTGTTGACTTATGTTATTATGTTGTTACCAATATAATCTCTCTTTTATTTGGGGTCTTCCACATAAAAAACATAGGACTAGCCGAGGCAGGAAATTACTATGTCGATAAGAATTTATAAAATATATGAAATGGAAAAACGCAATGAAGGAAAAGAGATGTATGTAAAAAAACAGAATATATAGATAAGCAATATATTTGAAACATTCGATAGTAGAGAATTCATTCAGCAGCAACCTTTTCCATTTACCTGCATGCTAAGAGTAAAAATCAGGTTCAAAGTACTTAAAGGACCAAATATACAGCAGAATTTCACTTTTTAGTTGATAATTCCTCTGACTTTTTACTAGACTTCAGACTGAGTTCAAAAAAGAAAAAACAAGAAAGGAATTAATACATCTAACTGATTAATTAAAACATACTACATCTATTATTATTATTATTATTATTATTATTATTATTATTATTATTATTATATAAAAGCACGAATATCAAAACACTAAATGTTAGACGACAAAAATATCCCCAAAATATTGATGGACTTTTATGCCCTTTAAACTAAATATAATTTCTTGAGAATACAATTTTATATTGGATAAAATAGTAATTAAACTTGACCGAATATTAATTTGTGTAATTCTTAGCACAATCAGTTTCCTACTTTTTAGATATTAGGTCCAACATAAATCCTTTAAGAAGTAAAACTTTGAAAGACTACGACTTAAAGTTGGAGGAAGATTAAAATTATAGGAAACGACTAATTCTACTTATGTTGCCTTAAAGACCAATTTTAATTATTTGTTATATTCCTATAACCAACATGGTCATGGCTACTGGAGGAGGATCGAGGTTCTTTATTTTTATTTTTTTGTAAATATTATTTTCTTAAAGAGATATATTCTGTGGTTTATAAAATTATAATATAAATCAATTAATAATGGATTGTTTAAAATTCGTATTGGATGCACCCTTCTATTATTAGAACAAGAGTCCAATTTTAACGTTTTAGCTATTTGAATTGTTATGTGATACGGGTTTGAAGTTTTAAATCTATACTAATTCTAAATGGATAAGAACACTGTAAATGGTTCTTACCTTAAGTTATATACAAACGTCTTCATTGGCGTATTACATTGTTATAAAGTTGACGCTCATAACATGTTAAAATTTCTTTATTTTTTTCCTATATTGCAATATTCATTATTGGAAGTTTTGGTTACGTTTTTCTTTTCTTTTGGTAACGCTAATCTGATTTAGTAAAGGTTTTAACTTTCTGTTGGAGATAATCCTATTAAAAGATTTGCTATCTTTGCTTGAAGAACAATGACCGCACATTCAATTCTCTCTATCTCACACAAGCTACGTGGCAAGCATGAATAAATTTAAAATTGTATGGTAAGCATGAGTAACTTTTATATTTGACTGTTTGTATCATATATTGTATTTCATTAATTAGTAATGCCAATTCAATAGTGAACAATATCGATGATATTCTTTTAAGGAAAAGTCTACTAAATTTTATAGTTATTTTGGTAAAATAAATAGAATAGATCTCTAATTAGATTCTACATCTGCATTTGGTGTTTTTCAATTGTAATTGCGTCATTCATGACAAATACTCGACAGACTTAAATCTACTTTAAATGTGCTTTTTTTTTTTAATGAACTAAGTTACTATATGGCAATCTGATGGTTTATTTGATGTTGAGGAGTAATAGTTATGTCTTGAAGCTCTGATCATTTCAAATTGATTTAGTTAAGTCTAAGAAAAAATCGACAATGGTTCAAGTCAGATATTTGGTTTCTTAACTTTAATGAATAGACGTGCTTTCTTTTCTTTTATGTATGGTACATGATACTAGCTAGAAAAAACTAATAATATACCAATACTCAATAATCTTTTGTATACGATCAAGTTGTAGAAGGTTAGATAGTGCTCTATACAAACTATAAACAACACTATTGTTGGTTTTATCCTTTGTATGCTAAATACATATATTCCTATGTTCGTTGTATTAGAAAGTGCTGATATAGAAAAGATGAAAATAGGACATATAAAATTTGACTGTCTGTCGGATAAACTTCAAGAAAGCAACAACGAATACAACTATGCAAGGTTGTGAGTGAGTACCGTGTTCGTTGTGTATTTTGCATCGAAAATGGACTCCTAACTTTATATTTTTCCTTTTTCCTTTTTGTATTTGTATTGGGTGATACCCTTTTTGCTTGAGCCCGACCGGGTTGGGTCCGGTCCGGGGCAAGTCGGGGCTTTCGAACCCGACCTGGATGCAAGGTAGAACGACGGCCACGTCAACAACCGAGGTCGAGTCATTTCGAGACCGTTGCAGAGCTCGATATGAGTCACCACCGGATGGAGAAACACACAAGGTCGGAAGCCGGACTCGTAACGGATAACCAAGCGTCGCCGGATATCTCGCCCAAACGTGATTTTCTCAACCACTTCAGGCCATTAAGGCGTAATTACAGGGATCCACGATGTAATTAATTTACCTACCTTATTTTTACCCTTAATCAGAATGTATAAAAGGGGAGAAGACCCCATAAAGAGGGGATCGGAAACCATTACACTACGGTACCATCTCTCTCAATTCTTGTACGCTATCAAGCACAATTGTTCTAAGCAATATTATATTCTGCGATTATTTACTTTAGCAGCAATTGTTGAGTCTTTATCTTTTATTTTTCTCAATCCAAACCTTTTGTATCTTTTAGTTCACGGATCCTTAAAACCCCATATAAATTCAATTGTTATCCGGATTCCAGGGTAAACAGTTTGGCGCCCACCGTGGGGCTAAGGATATTAGTGAGCTCTTTGATACTCTTTCTTGACGCATCACAGTACACTGGTTCTTTGCAAAAGAGTCCATCTTACATTCAAATTACCAACTCATAGAATGGCACAATCAATCAACAACGAACTTGAACAGCAGACAGGAAACAATGGAATGCCCGGGCTCGAAAACCCGATAGATGCCGATTCCCGGATGGCGCTCAACACTGATCAGGCCTCCGGATCATCACATAGCGTCCGGGGAGAGGACGATTCGAGGGCCCAGGCAGTCGGCGAAGAGACTATCAACCTTAAAATGATTTTTGACATGCTGCAAGCCCAGCAATCGGCTATAGCTCAGCTCCAGAGCCGGGTCCAGGAGCCTGTCAGGTCCGAGGAGGCTCCCCGTGCAGCTGCAATCATCAATCCGACCCCAGTACAGCCGGAACGGGGTGGGCCGGATGCTGATTCTGCGGTTCTTAGGAGGCTAGAAGAATTGACCGAACGAATCGAAAAGGGGGAGGAAAAGATCGAGGCCAACAATAAAAAAGTAGAAACATACAACTCCAGGGTCGACCAAATACCAGGTGCACCTCCGGTCCTGAAAGGCCTTGACGCTAAAAAGTTTGTACAAAAACCGTTCCCATCCAGTGCCGCCCCAAAACCTATCCCTAAGAAATTTAGAATGCCCGATATCCCGAAGTATAATGGGACCTCGGACCCAAACGAGCATGTGACAGCATACACATGCGCGATTAAGGGAAACGATCTCGAAGATGATGAAATCGAGTCAGTTTTGTTGAAAAAGTTTGGAGAAACCTTGTCCAAGGGGGCAATGACGTGGTATCATAACTTACCGCCAAATTCCATCGATTCGTTCGCCATGTTAGCCGATGCCTTCGTGAAAGCTCACGCCGGGGCGATCAGGGTAGAAACAAGGAAATCCGACCTATTCAAGGTCCGACAGCGCATAAACGAGACACTCCGGGAATTTGTGTCTCGATTTCAAATGGAGAGGATGGATCTTCCCCCAGTCACGGATGACTGGGCAGTACAAGCCTTCACTCAAGGATTGAACGCCAACAGCTCAGCCGCATCCAGGCAATTAAAGCAAAGTCTGATCGAGTTTCCAGCAGTTACGTGGGCAGACATCCATAACCGGTACCAATCGAAGATAAGGGTAGAGGACGACCACAGCGGAGCAAGTTCGGATTCACCATCCACACATAGGAATTTCGATCGACCTCGTAGGGAAAACTACAAAGATTCGAGACCAAACAAGGAAAGATATCGGCCGTATCAGGATGATAGGAGGCCTAAATTAACGAGGAACGACCGCGGCTATGAGAGGAACAGAAGACCGTTACCGAAGGCCCACCTCGGGAAAGCCGTCGATAGACAGGAAGCACCCCGATTGGCTGAATATAATTTCAGTGTCGATTCGGCTACCTTGGTGTCGGCGATCGGACGTATCAAAGAAGCCCGATGGCCCAAACCCGTACAGTCCGATCCATCGAGGAGGGATCCCAAGTTAATATGTAAGTACCACAACACACATGGCCACAGAATCGAAGATTGCAGGCAACTGCGGGAGGAAGTTGCCCGGTTGCTCGATGAAGGTTACCTTCGAGAATTTCTCAGTGATCGGGCCAAAAATCATTACGAAAATCGAGATCGACCAGCCGATAGGAAGGAACCCCGGCACACCATAAACATGATAATTGGAGGGGAAGACGCACCTCAAGTACCAATACTGAAACGTACCAAGATATCGATCACAAGGGAGAAGCGGATCAGGGATTATGCACCAGAGGGAACACTATGTTTTAGCAACGAGGAAATCGATGGACCAGCACAACCCCATAACGACGCTTTGGTAATATCCATGATGGTCCGAGACACTAAAGTCAAGCGTGTCTTGGTCGATCCCGGAAGCTCGGCTAACATAATTCGGTCGTGGGTCGTCGAACAGTTGGGACTGACAGGGCAGATAATTTCTGAGGTAAGAGTATTGAATGGAT